TTGAGTCATTTGCATTTCCACAAATTTGGGATTTAGTAGATTTCTATACAAATTTGTTTGATGGGGAATTTATATCAAATTAAAGCTCCTTCTTAGGTAGAGACGAATCCAAAATTTTGAAGTTTATTATTAATTTCTATAACAATTTTAATTTATTATATGACAATAATTGAGTTCGTAGTCAAATATTATATAGGATTTAAGCAAAAGTTGTTGAGTTTCCGTGAACTCACACCTGACAAACTGGCCCGCTCCTGCTAATAGTGAGTTGTTATGGCTGAATCCAAATTAGTCGGGTTTGCTTGAATTTAAAACTTTGAAATCGTAAGAATTTGATTAGCAAAACTGCTAAAGCATCTTGTTTCGTAAGTCGTAAGTGTTGAAATATGTTATCGATCTCATCTAATATTTTTAGTTATTGAGCATAAGCACATTTCTCTATAGTTATTAATTCACGTATGGATCAGATTGACGTTATGTCTAACTCAATCGGAAAAAAAAAGCTCCATTTATCAAAAACCATATATAAGGGATTTAATTATCTCACCTAACCAATGTGGGACACTAATATCTGACACATATAAAATTTTATATATTTCATTGTATCACATTAAGCTCTACCAAGTACCAAGTAATTCACAAATAAGAGTTATTTGCACTCCCTTTCTATTTTCTTCTAGCTCTTCTAGTTTGGAATTTTGTGGATTCCAAAATTAGATACTTAAGTTCAAATATTTTTGTTTATGAAATGTCAAAGTTCAAATATTCTCATAATCTTTAAAAGAGATGATATATTTAAATATGTGGTGATCTAAACCACGTCACCTACTATTTGTTTGGCCCAAGAAATTTTACGAATTTCTCACTTAGATATATTATTATCGAGCCCCGAATATTAGATTCATGTAACATGATAAAAATTTCTCATTTCTTAACCAAAAAAAATATATGGTTATGAAAGAGTGAGGTGAAACAAAACAAACTTGGTGATAGAGTCGTGAAAATGCTTTTTTCGAACAACAAGAAGCTCTAGAGATTTGAGGGCTCTTGCTATAGCCAAATACAAGGTAATTAAGAATCATTTATACCAATACTGATACGTATGTACCATATGATTTTGTATGCTTGTGTTATAAAGTTCTTTACTTTCTTCTCTCATCCAATATGAGATTCGCCTAAGATTTCACGTACACCTCTTCAGATCGAAAACTTGTTAATCTAAAAAAAATTCAGTCCTTATCTGTGACCGCTCCATGTCATGAGGCACCACATTTAATTTAATTAATTAAACGTGCTTACATGCACGTGACATGGCCACTAACTACTCAAGTTTATAAATTATAACTAAAAACATACTCAAAGCTTGTGCATGACATGGTATCCACACGCAATACACATTACAAACTTATACATTTTAAATGCAAATAAACATTGTCCATAGAATTACACAAGTCTATATTATATACAATTATTATTTTAACAGATAAAAAAGACTAAACATTAATTTATTTCACTTGTTATGATATGATGTATGTCCTTATCGAAACTATATAGTATAGATTAATTCTCATTATAAATGTCATATGACAACATAGTCTTAATCACAAATTAGTAGTAAACCAGAAAAATTAAGTGTTAATTAGCAAAAATGTTAGCCATTTCTTCTTCTACTTCTCCTTTATTTTCTACTACTACTAATAATAACTTTGGTTGGCTTTTGGAAGATCTTATAAGCCATGAATTAACAAATAGTGGAGAAACTTCAAATTCATCTCATAATAAGAGCCTTCAACATTGTGATTCAAATAAATTTGATCAAATTATTATCAACGGTGGTGATCATCATCAACCTGATCAGACGGTGAAGAAGCTTAATCATAACGCAAGTGAACGTGATCGTAGAAAGAAAATCAACGGCTTATATTCTTCTCTTCGTTCTTTGCTTCCTCCTTCTGATCATACGGTATGATTTTTAAAGCTTAAGGATATTTTTGGGAAAAATTGTGTGATTTTGGTTCAAAACGAATTTTAAAAAGTGTCTTTTATGTTGTTTTAGCATCGAATAAAGATTAGTATCAGAGCTAGTGATTTGATAAGACGAATATGAAATTGGTAGAGTGATGACTTGAGGCTTGACTTAATATCTTTACCCGTCTACGAGTTAATTTACTATCTTTACCTATAGCTTGAAAAAGCATACACACAAAAAGAGGCATATGTTTGGCTTAGATGGCCATAAATTAAATACTCCGAATGATGATGGTGTCACATAGTAAATTTCAAATTATCCCATGAATCTAGGTGAAGGGCATGTGGAACTTATATGGTTCAAGGGGGTGTATCCGAATAAAGTCATATATACATAGCTAGAAAAAAGAAGAAGTCATATGATACTTTTAATGATGTGAGACCTTTTTGATAAAACTGTGCGAACATGACCTCAAATGTACAATATCATAAAAAAGTATCTTTAGGTTGTTTTAGCTTTTGACAATATGGAGATTTACACTTAATTTTGAAGTATTTTTTTATTCATAATTATGCTCACTAATATTACTTCTTCATTTTTTATGTTTCACAGAAAAAGCTAAGCATTCCATCAACAGTATCAAGAATTCTAAAGTACATACCAGAATTACAAAGTGAAGTGGAAAGATTGGTTCAAAAGAAAGAAGAATTTACATCAACAACTATTTCCAATAGACAAAATTTAGGTGATTTTACCAAACAAAAAAGAATAAAAGGAGGAATTGAGAATTCTTCATTTGTTATTTCAACAAGTGAATTAGGTGATAAAGAAATTGTGATTCAAATATCAACTTTGAAGATCAATAAAGGTTCAATTAGTGAGGCTATTTCACAATTAGAAGATGAAGGACTTGTTCTACTAAATGCAACTTCTTTTGAAACTTTTGAAGATAGAGTATTCTACACCTTGCATTTTCAGGTATTATTAAATATCCTTTTAATTATTTCTATTGCTTTAATCCCCACCTTGTTGCTCGGATCCTGCAAAAATGTTGTCGGATGTGTGTTATATCCTCAAAAAATGAGTTGGGACGATGTTTTTGGAGGATTCGAGGAATGTAATCTTTAGGTATGTTTTATTTAGAGAGATGTATCGGGAACAACCTCTCTATCTCTATGAGATAGGGGTAAGGTCTGCGTATACTCTATTATCTCCAGACTCCACTTGTGATATTACACTGTATGTTATTTTTGTTTTTGTTTATATATAGTGTTTTTCCTTATGTTTTTTATTATTTTGGTCAACAGGTTGAAGGAAGTATGGTAGTTGAGGTTGACATGTTAAGAGACAAGCTATCATCATATTTTGAGAATGAAGAAAACTTATTATGACAATGAATTTCTAGTTTTATGTTTATTGAAAAACATTGTAATCACACTTTTCCTTTTCTTTTTTTTTCCATCTTTTTCCTCTTGGACAATACTCAAGAGCAATACAAAAATGTAAATGTCTTTTTATTTACCACGTTATTGTTATCACCATTTCCACAAATCTCAATTGGTTTTGTAGTCCTTTACAAATTCGTTTTTAGTTTTATGTTTGAAAGTGTGAAAATAAGCCTCAATTGGTGAATTAACAAACCTATCTTTGAAGCGTCAGATTTTTTTTATAGCAAGATATTGTTATTAAGAACATATTATATAGCATGCAGTTATTTATGTATTATATGTAAGTAACTTATGCAACAACATGAATAGTGATAAGATAAAAGAAAGGCTTGCTAGAGCTCAAAGAGAGTGAGTGCACCTGCATTGCTGCATGGCCTTTATATACATTAATTAAAGAGAGGAATTATTGAAAATACCTGTAAACTTATTAGTTTCATTTCCGAATTATCGATAGAGTGACAATCTTAAATCACCCCTCTACTTAACTAATTGAACTTAAATACAATCCTTGATCTTGCCACATGGGTGAAATACACTCCTGAATTCTCGTTAAATTTATGTGTGTATTCAACACTTTCTCGATTTTTTATTAAGAGCTTCATGCTCCTACCAAAGTTTGAAACCACTTCCTATGTCATAAGGCAGATATTAGGAGTGTATCTAAATTTAGTTAGTCAAGTAGAGGGATAATTTTAAGGCTGTCAATAGTTCGAGGACACAATTAATAATTTACGCCAATTTCAGGGTGTTTTCAGTACTTTAGTCTAACAAATTCTTGTACGTACAATAGCTAGCACTACCTGAAACTAATTTTTGGCTCTCTGTTCATCATATTCACGTTTTCTTTTTCTGCAAGACTCCATTAATAACATTCTCCACATTCATGAAGAAACTCCATATCCCTCTATCAGATTATACAGAAAATTGGAAAAACTTTCAAAAAGATAAACGCTACCAAATAATGTTAGCAAATAGAACTGATCAATATTTCAACAAGGAGCATTATGAAGCTGAACAGATCATCAAATATGGATATACGCGAATATTAGTACGTTTCATCTTCTTTTTTCTTCATGATTCAACTAACATTCTTGTTCCCTTTCTTGAACCCTTTTTTTTATGACAGTTTGAGAAGTTACCAGAGATTGTGAGAGATTTTACCGTCGGTTTAGCTTTGATTGAGCAGTTACCAAATATCGCGCCATTTTTGTTGGAGTCAGCTGCCTACAGGATCATGCTTTTAATAGTTAACAGTAAGATACGTCTCAAACTAGAATAAATGTTTTATCTTATAATTATACGGTTTATCATAGTCGAGGTGACATTTTGATTTTTTTTTTTTGGCACATTATGCAGAGGATGATGATTATTACAATCTTGACATGGATAGTTTTTTCAATAATGGGATTGTAGACAATCTAATTGAATGTTGTCGATCAAGAAATTGGCGTAGTCTTCGTGTGAGTATAGTAACTTATAATAGTAGTTTGATACATAGCAAGTAATATGTTACTGATTTTGCTCTTTTTTTTCTTAAGAGTCAAGCTGCTGAGACATTATGTGAATTGGTTAGATGTGGAACGATGGCACAGAATCAGGAATTGCTTAGACGTGGTGTCGTTACTATTTTCCTGCAAATGCTTAATGATGATGAAGCTATAGACCTTGATGATGAGGACTGGTTGGATGACTTACTAATTGTTGAGGTACAATGCTAATTTGGCATCCCTTGGTAGCGTATTGTAGGTCTAAAAATCTCGATAAGTTCACAATTTTTTGGCTAAGGAAATCCCATTTACCGGTTGGAAATGCCAGATACTGAGTTGTTTTGAGAGTCCACAGAGTGTAATAATAAATAGAGTTTATATTCCTGATATGATTAATCATCAGAAGGTGGAACTTCTTTTTAGCTTGTAATGTTCCGCGTTTCCTGATTGATGTAGTCAGATGTATTCTGTTTGTAAGATTTATATGGAAACACCCTTCCGCATCCAATTATCCCACCAAAAGTTGGATTCTCCTTCGATAGTCCAAACTAGACCTATCAGGAGGTGTTTTCAAATGTGTGATTGACCACTTCTCGGCTTCTTTGCCACCGGATGAGTATATCTGCAGTACATGTTCTATATGAAGGAACTACAATGATTGTACGAAACAATCGATGTTTTTAGATCTCCTAACTTATTTTTTTATTTTATTTACTAAAGGCTGTGCAGACTTTGGCTTTATTGTCAACTAAAGTAGATGTCAGGGATGATTTGGTTACTGCATTTGTTGAGCAAAATCTGTGTAGAAGGGTGATGTTGCTTTTCAGGTTAGTTCTTCTCGATCACATGCTTGTCGTCTACTGTTCTGCTATGTTTTGCCTACGCGATCTGATAAAATGAGTTGATTATAGGAATACTAGACACACCATAGTTGAAAATGTGTTGACATTTGTGGAGAACTTTCTTACTAGAGGAACTGAAGAGCAAATACAGGTAATCCAAACTCCAAAGCATTTGTTGTCTCTTATTCCATCATTTATTGTTTTACTAAGTTTTCATCTTATGTTATGTGTTTTAGGTTCTCCTTGACAACCAAGTTTTGCATCATCTCAGACTTGTAATTGTCGAGCCTGTGGTGTCCGATTTATACCTCCTTGGTGGACAATATAAGGCAGTAGAGATTTTGGGTAATTTTGCCCGTCGTTCAAGAAGGTTGAGGGACCTTGTTATTGACAGTGGTGAAGATCTCATCTCATTATTTCGAGTTCTTTGTTCCCTAGCAGATGATGCCATCGTTGCATTTGACGCTTCACCAGCAATCAGTGCTGCCAGGACAATAGGATACTTGTGTTTTGGTAGTCCACCCCCACCATTTGATAAGGTTGAGCTTGTTTTCTGTTCATTAAGATCTATATATCACAGACACCTCACTTATTTCTTTGATGCTGATACGCGCTACATTGTTGTTATTTCAGTTGAGACCATCATTACCAATCCTCTGGTTTCTCATAAATCAACTGGAGCCTCATATAGGAGAAAGAGCATGTCCTGCTACTAAGCATGCGTGCTTGATTGTTGCATGTCTGTCACGCGGTGGATTTGATCCTATAAATGCATTGATTGATGACAATATGTGCCCAAGCGTGGTGATGCTTTTGGCGTAAGTTGTTTTAGCTAGTTCTGATAAAATGTTTAGCTAGTATAACATAGAATCTAATAAACTTGAGGTTATACAGACATCCTGACAGTGAGGTAGTTGCAAGTGTGCTGAAGGTTGTGGAGAACTTCCTTAAGAATGGAACTGAGAATCAAATTCAGGTAATCTTGTATTGTCGACTTTTACTTGTTTCGTAGGTATTATGTCATTTTTGTGAATGAAAGTCTACTTAATTTTTCTAGGTTCTACATGACAACCAAGTTCTTCAACATGTTTTAGAAATTTTAATCAATCATGACAACCTACCTCCTTTACATCTGAGGAGTGTTTGTCGTGCCATCGCAAATATAGTGAACTACCGGAGCAGTCAAATCCAGGTTCATTTCCAGACATGTGCTACCTTTTTGTAGATGAGACATTCTATATGAATATTATTAACTAAAGCCTTATTCCATGAAGCAGAGAATGGTTGATGCAGGTATCTTCCCTTCAGTTATTCAAATTTCGATTAACCAAGAGGTTGGTGATACCAAATATGAGGCTGTATACGCCATCTCAAGTGCTGTCACGAGAGGATCTCACGAGCAGATTAGGTACAATCTTCTTTTTTAGATTCTTTAATGTTGTGATCATGACTTTTAGTGAAATTCTACGATTTGGTTTGTGTTTCACTTATCTGATTTGGAAGGTCTCAAATATGTTTATTTGGTATTTGCTCAGATACTTGGTAGATCATGGTTCAATTGTAGCACTATGTCAAGGCCTTTTGTGTGGAGGTTAGGGTCTCCGCGGTATTCTGAGGGTTGGAGAAGCTCACAAGGTAGATGGTGTGAACATCTACACACAGATGATCACCGAGAACGGAGGGCTTGCTAGGATCAAGAGTCAGAGGGATGACCGTGATGTCGGAGAGATAGCAAGAAGATTGTTGAGCTCATACTGGGCTGGGGAAGTATGATATGATTTGCCTTTTTGTTCAGACTACTAGTGTTGTGTACTTAAAAAACTTGATGAGCTTTGTAGTTCTTGCCTTGTAGGCTGCTAGTGTTGTGTACTCTTTAACCTCTAATGTAAAAGAGTGATGCTTTACCATTTACCGACATATCGTCAATCACCACACATTTTTCGGACATGACCATGAAAACCACCAATTACTAACATCAACAAGCTTTACTATCACAATCAACAACATCACTATCAACTGTCACCATCATGTCAGTCACTACAACACCAACCACCTCCATCATTACAAGTCACAACTATCACCATCACCATTACTAGTCACTAACACCAATCATTACCACACACCTACAAACCATTGCCACTGTCACTAACGAGTTTAAATATTTTATTTTTTAAAAATTTATATATTTTAATATTTAATTATTTTTTATTTGATTGATATATTTACAAATAAATAAAAAATACATTCAGATATTGAAAAACAAACTGTAATAGTATTCAAATTTAAAAATAACATTTTAATCTCTTAATCAAATATGTATTCAAATTCAGATGTGCTAATAATAGTTTAACATAAAAATAGATATTTAATGTCATGAATTTGCCATTTTAGTATATAATTGGCCCAAATAATATTTATTTTTTGTAGTTCTCCTAATAGCAGTTGGACGCCTCGAATAGGTTTCTTTTTTGTGTAACTGCGACCCATACGTGCAAAACCCGGAGCGGATCTAGAGGATAATCCGTTTTCGCCACAATATATATAAAGTATTTTTTTTTCTTAATATATACATATAGATTATGAAATTAGAGTTTTGTTTTTAGCGTCCAGGTTCAAAATTCACGTTGAGGTTACAAGTTCAAAATAAATTGATGGAGAGGAACAAAGACCAGAATACGCAAGCCTATGTTCAGGTTCCTTTTTTTTTTTTTGAAAAAAAATATTTGTGCAGTGCTTTGTTAATTTTCTTTTTCCTTCTTAGTGATAAATAGGATGGTTGTCACACGTTGTAATGTATTGTATGATAGTTTAAATATCATGTTTGTTTTGATCGTTACTCAAAATCTATTGTCCCATTATATGTAACAGCCAATTTGGTGTGATCGCATATTTACCTGAGCTTAGTAATTGCTATGTTTCCGCTTATTACAGATTTTGGGGACAGGAATGGATACACAAGAAACATCCCCATCTGTTCTGCTCTGCTTCGACCACGAAAGATTCATATTTAATGCTGGAGAGGTAACTCTTGAGAGATAATAATATCTATTTATCTGCTTGCAAGAGTTTCTAGTTTAGTAACTTAAATTCTAACAACACTTGTAAGGTGTTAATCCTTAAAGCATTGTTCATGATGCAGGGATTACAACGCTTTTGCACGGAGTATAAGATTAAATTATCTCAGGTATGTATGCCTCAAATGCGCGATTTCAGTTTCAAACTAGTACAAAAGTTGTTGATCACTGCTAAACAATTACAGATAGATCATATATGTCTTACTCGTGTCTGCTCCGAGACAACAGGTGGACTTCCAGGTTTGCATCACTTTCTTAGAGAACTAAATTGATTTTCTATGTGGTATAACTTATTACGATCCCAATAATAAAATCTCTCATGAAATCATTTTCGTTCATGATCCCTAATTCACTTTGTCTCAGGCTTGTTATTGACTTTGGCTGGCATGAAAAACGGAAGTTCTGAGAGTGATGATCATGTGAGTAACTCCCCTATTTCTCATTAAAATGAATAGAGACAGCGGTGTTACTACTTGCTAAAAAAGCCTCTCGATTTGTCTTTTAAGGTTCGTATATGGGGTCCTCCAAATCTAGATTTGTTGGTTAATGCAATGAAAACTTATGTACCTCATGCTGTCATGACAAAGAAAAATATCATTCCACAAAGTGGATCTGCATTAGCTCCCCCTTTACATGCAGAGGAGCTGCGAGATGTTGACAAGTTCAAGGCAGTTAGTATATCAGCGTTTCTCCTATCACCGACTCAATTTAGTTCGAATGATACCTCCATTGTATATATTTGTAAATTACATGACATCAGGGGGAAAGTTGACATTGTAAAGGCTAAAGCTTGTGGACTCGAAGATAAGAGAAAGCTTGGACAGTTGCAGAAAGGGATCAGTGTGAAGTCAGATCTTCTGGATATAGAGGTCAGTTATAATAAACTCGATGGTTAGGACTATAGTATGGACATTGTTTCTGCAGTATTCTTTGAAATCAGACGACTTTCATTTTTGCCTCGTTCAGGTCCATCCAGATGATGTTATAGGTCCACCTATTCCTGGTCCGATTGTACTGATTGTCGACTGTCCAACAGAACCTCATGCACAAGAGTTACTCTCTGCACAAGCTCTTGATGCGTATTATTTAGATTCCCAAAGCAACTCCACGAACGTTGTGAACTGCATCATTCATTTGAGCCCTGCTACTGTTGTCAATAGTCCAGTTTATGAGAAATGGATGAGGAAATTTGATTCCGCACAACATATTATGGCAAGAGCTAAAAGGTATGTAATTCCTCTTAATGCTTATTTTATATTTTTCGATAATCAACACTGGTTCATAGTCGTTCTGTCGCAGGAAGCATGAAACAACTCCAATTCTAGCATCTAGTGCTAGAATAGGTACAAGACTGCATTATTTGTGTCCTCAGTTTTTTCCAGAACCTAGTTTTCCTTCTGTTCATAATGATGATGACGGCGTTGCAGCTCCAAATATCAAAGTACCGGTGGAGGTTTGTTTTGAGCTCTAGAAGTCGATAATTACACATCTTTAAAAGTCGCGGAAAACTTGTGATACTCTACTTATCTTTGCAGGGTTCAGTTTGTGGCATATCTGCTGAAAATCTCTTAAAGGTATTGTTGACTCCAATTTTCCTGATCACGTTGCTCGGACTCTTTAAAAATGCCCCCTGTGCATGTTGGATACTTCAAAACTAGTGCATTTTGGAGGATCTGACACGGAACATTATTGAAGAGTTCGAGCAACATAGATGGAAACTATATTTACAGTTGTAAAGGAGCAAGCATATAACCTTAGGCTTCTTACTACAACCCTATGATACCTAACAGTGAATCGGCATCTTACAACAATTCATTTTTTATTTTTCATTTGCACGGAATGAACTTTTCTTGTCTAACCTGTTCAACAGTTCGCCTTACGTCCTCCTAGAAAACTGGGATTGGACAGATCATGTGTTCAAAATACGATGACCTCCTCCGTTTTCATTGAAGAGTTACTTTCAGAGATTCCTGAGATTGCTGATGCAGCTAAGAGCATAAGCAAATTTTGGCACAAACCTAAAGAAGATGAGGTAGAATTATCCAACAGGCAGGACAGTAATGATGTCGTGACTGAAGAACCTTCGAAATTCTCTGTCCCTAAAGTGTCTCAAGAATGTACAGAGAGATGATCTAGAGATTGTTTTTCTTGGCACTGGTTCTTCCATACCTTCAAAATATCGAAATGTCAGTTCTATCTATGTTAATCTTTTTTCTAAAGGAGGTTTACTCCTTGACTGTGGAGAAGGAACTTTGGCACAACTCAAGAGGAGGTAATTACATTGAACTCTTTCGATTCATGTTATGTCATTCATAATCATTTTTGTCATTTTTTTTATGTCGTGTTCCACTCCCCGGGGCTTATTTCAACTCTGTGAATAACAGATATGGCATTAGTGGTGCAGACAGTGTAGTTAGAAATCTTAAATGCATTTGGATTTCCCATATCCATGCTGATCACCACGCTGGTTTGGCTCGTATACTTGCTTTAAGACGTGATTTGTTGAAGGGAGTAGAGCATGAACCCATACTGGTTATTGGGCCAGAGAAGGTTGGAGAGTTTCTTAAGGAGTATATAAAATTAGAAGATCTAGACATGTTGTTCCTCGACTGTTGGAGCACTACGCGGTCTAAGTGGGATAATATGGAGGCTGAAGACAGTTCTCTGCAGCCCTGTTCGAAAAAATTGAAGCCAAGCACTCCACTTGATGACATAACATTGCTAAAGCGTTTAAGGAAAGTTCTCGGTGAAGCAGGGCTAGTGAGACTCATCAGCTTCCCTGTTGTACACTGTGATGACGCGTTTGGTGTTATCTTGGAATCAGCAGACAGAATGAATCGCGGGGAAGTAGTACCGGGTTGGAAGGTTGTGTACTCTGGTGACACGAGGCCATGCTCAGAAGTTATAAACGAGTCTCTTGGAGCAACAATTCTTATACATGAGGTCAGTGCATGAACTTCCCTTCGTGTCAAAATGTTTGTCTGGTTTTGACTTGACACGGAGTTTAAGAAAGTGAAGAAGACTTTTGAATCCTGTAACTTATCCTTGGTTATGCAAAGTACACGAATTGTAACGTGTAGAACAAGGAAATCTTTTTTTACGATTAACATGTTAGTACATTATCCTCTGCAGGCTACGTTCGAGGATGGCCTTGTAGAGGAGGCTATAGCAAGAAATCACAGCACAATCAAGGAAGCACTAGAAGTGGGAGATTCTGCTGGTGCATACCGCGTAATATTAACTCACTTCAGCCAAAGATACCCGAAAGTACCTGCACTTGATGAAGTGAGTATGCAAAGAACTTGTATTGCTTTTGATCTAATGAGTGTAAACCTAGCAGATTTGCCAGTGCTCCCTAAGGTTCTTCCCTACCTAAAATTGCTTTTCAGAAACAACTAAATTTTAAAGTATAGTCAAACCGTTCTATAACAGTCATCTAGTACTATAACAGTCTAGTTTTCTTTGGACCCGACTTTCATATATGTTATATTATACCTCTCTCGAATTCTTAAGCGGCATTTACATTTGTTGTTGATGAAAAAAGATGCAAAAGAAGAAAAGAAAAGTGTGAATACGTCACTCTATTTTTGTAAAAATAATGCCAGAAACTCATTTGTGGTAATTTCTGTTTTAAAAGGTTTTTTTTAAAAAAATGGCTAGACTCATGTATGGGGCTTAGTTCTCTGAGGTTTACGCCCCAAGTACTCGATTGTACGCATTAAAGATTGATAAGTTCAATGCTCAAGGCTCGATTAAGAGTTCTAACCAAAATCATGTGTCAAATTTCCTAATTAGCATTGTATTGACCTTCGAATTCTTTAACAAAAGAACGGTAGAAGTTTTTTTCACTATTAATAAAAGTTCAATGCATCGATAAAAACAGAAAGATTAAGAGTAACTTAAATAGTCCCCTTACATTGTCCCCTAGTATACTATACTTAAGAAAGCGATTTCTACGATCAACTTATTTTAAGTGATGAGATTGTGCAAACAAAGGCAATGAAGAGTGATTTGAATAATGGGTGGTGTCCTACAAACACATCCATTATCTAAGAAAGATTTATTCACCGACTAGTAATAGACTAACATTGAATAACTCTTAACTTATCTTTCGTAAATACTCCCAAATAAAATATTACTCTCAAACATCTATCATTGTTAGTTTGAAACTTTCAAATTTCAAAATATTATTCAGTATATTTCAAAAAGTTTGCATGTGTGGTAGAAACATAATCCATGATATTATCACATATTAACAAACATTATTATAATACTGAGGAGCCTTTATCATATTGTCTCTTTCTTCTCGCATTGTGAAAAGTGCCGACCTACATTGCCCTAAACTTGATGATGTTTTCTCCACATATGTCGCATATCCATTTGCAAAATATTGTGTAAATACATATGTGGAAAATCTTATTATACGATGTCTTCTTCACATATATTGTAAATTCAATTACAAAATATTGTATAAATACATATATGGAAAATCGTATTATGTCCGGATCATTAGTGAGTGTAGATATTATCGCCATTAACTTTATTAGCCTCTCCAACACCTTTAGATATTTAGGAAATTCAGCAAATAAGATTTTTTTTCTTGTGTAACCTTCACATAAAAGGCGCATAGACATGTACAGATGCAATCAAACTTCAACTAATCAAGCATCAGATAAAATGTAACACCATTAAGGGTGACTTAATATACAAACTTAATGATCTAAAGTTAATTTTTAATAAAAGATCTTAAATCTATTAAGTTCACAACAAACACCTAATAGTAATATCGTTACTTATAATAGTTTATGTTAATAAGACATTAGGCATGTCTTTGTAATACATTACTTTGGATCTTGTTATAAGAAACTTTATTTAATAAATAAAGATTTTAGTAGTTTAATTTAGGCATAACACATAAATACACCTTTTAACTTGACCTCAGTTGATATGTATGCCCTTCAATTATGAGTGTGCACAAGTAGACACTTAAACTTGTATAAAGTTGAATAAGTAGACACAAATGTCATACGTAACATAATACACGTAGAACGCCACATAGGATGTGCGAAATTGTCACGTAGGACGTGTGTGTCAACTTATTCAACTTTACATAAGTTTAAGAGGTCGTTTGGTAGAGTTTATTAGGACAAAATCGACCTTGACCCAATTACATGAAATTGAAAATCACATAATAATTCAAAAGTATAATTGGAAAGAAGCATTTTGTAGAGTTTTAAACTAAATTAAAGGATTAGGTGGGAATAAATGTACCAAACACTTGATAAAAGTAATCCCTACATAACTGATCTTTGCGTTATTAATCTTTGTACCAAACGATCCCTTAAGTGTCTATTGTGCACAACAAAAGTTGAAGGACATAATTATGAGATGATGCTAAGTTAAATGACATGTCCATTTATTATGCCTTTAATTTAAATCTAAAATATTTGTGTAATTTTTTATTTTTTTTTTAAAAAAAGACAATCTTTCTTTCTTTATCTTGTATTAAAAAAATTGTACATTTGTTTACAAACTTCAATTTTTAATTAAGCAACATTCTCCTGTAATCATATCAAATCAAATTATTTCCCCTCTTCAACAAAGCAACAATACAATATTTTAGTATTTAACAAAGAGAACAATTCAACCGGTCAGCCAACATGCATTCAAACACAATAAGAAATCAACAAAGAGAGAGTTTAATCATATGTAAGATTTTATTTTTTTCAATCCGTTAAGTTTCAATGTAAAAATTCTTTTTTTATTATGAAAAAAAATAATTAATTAAGCGAAAATTAAATCACTAATCCACCCCACCCCACACCCCTACTCATCCACGATAAATTTTTTATATTATTTAGTTAGAATATATATAAATATTTGTCGCGATGGCGTAACAATAAGCCAAGTATAATACTATAGATTATAAGTAAAAAATTAATGTCTGAAATGCAAGCACATCTTCTCTCTTTAGTCGTCTATCTAATAAAAAACTTTAATTTAAACTATAGGATATACATTTAACAAAGAAGAAAAAAATGAAAAAGATTCCTGGCTGATGGAATCAAATTAATTATATGGAAGTAATGAAATAATAATTGTAAGATAGTTGAATTTTTAAAATATATATAATAAAATTTAGAAAATAAACCTAAGTGGTACAGCCACGTGGTCCATCAACTTTGGCTCAAGCTTGTAATATGAGAGCTTGTGTTGTCCATGCATGCACACACACTTTTCTAACAATTTAATTTTTTATCACTAACAATGTATATTTCTTCGATCTCAAATTATGTGATAAAATTTAACTGATGAATCAAAGGTATCAAAATCATAAGCTTAATTGAATTTCGACGTGATAAACATAAAATAAATTGAATTAATAAATAAGCAGGTTATATTACTTGAGTCAAAATAGACTAAACAATCTATTATAGCCCTAACTTGTTTATTTTTTACTAAATTTTAGTTTTGAGGCTATGTATATATTCCATTTCTTATTAACTCCATAAGTGTTGGACAACTACTAAAATAAGATCCAGGTCATAGTATTATCTTAAACTTTGTATTTAATACAATAAGAAGTATTCATCAGTTTAATATATATCTTACTCTATTTATCAAAATATTATTTGTTGTTGATATATATTTTTTTTATCAATTATTTTTGTTGTGACTTTTTTATTATTGTATTTTTTTTTCATACATGATTTTATATGTTTTACTTAAACTGACAATCTAACAGAAATAACTTCACTACTTTCACAAGAAAGGGATGAGAGTTAGGACTGTCTACACACGACCACTTTTTTCAGACCCTTAAATTACACTGAATATGTTGTTATAAATAAATAGAAAATATATTATATCTATGTAGTTTACCCAAGTCTGAGCAAGATTCCATTTTTATTTATGTGCATCCAAGATAAGATCGTAAATTAAGTAATTAAGGTTACACCAAACGCACCAAAGCATTATGTTTATTTTAACTAATTTTTTCAACAATGAATAAATTAAGGAAATTAGCCTTTTTAATCCCTCAAATATTGATAAATTTTGTTTTTAATCCTTATAATATTTTGTTAAGAAAATTTAACCTTTAATTAATTGATATGTACGCTTTTGATTCCTCTGACGGTAAATCTTCACAAATTTAATGACTTTTAAGCGTTAAACCATTCAATTATCAATTTTTCTTGTAAATCCATATATCAAGACAATATATATAGTTCTAAAAGAAGTCTAAATATCAAAGTATATTTTTTTATAAAGGGATCAAAATACACATTTTAGTTATTTCAAGGTTAGATAAGCTTAAAACAATATTACAAGTACCAAAATCATAGTTTACTAATAATTGATGGATCAAAAGTTCAACTATCTCATTAATTGTAATTCTTGGAAATTGTAATTCTTAGATTAAAATAAAAACCAAACTATTAAATTCAACAAAAATTATATGTACGGTTACAACAAATTGTATAAATACTCAAGATAGTCAATCTCTCAATAAAATCATTTCTCCTTTAAAAAAAAATGCTAGCTTTTTCCTCTTCTAATATTTTTCCAACTATGAATAGTATTGGATGGTCCTTTGAAGAACCACTTAGCTATGATGATTACCAAAAAAATACGACAACAATAACTATGCCTCAGTTCCAAACCGATCAGACTAACAAGTTGTTTGAAGGTTTACGTGTCGATAATACTATTGATTTACCTTTATCTCATCATCATCAACAACAATGTTTGAAAGAAAGTGAGTTTGATGTTGATGAATTAGGGGTAGAAAGGTCATTAATGGAGAAGAAGCTAAATCATAATGCAAGTGAACGTAATAGAAGGAAGAAGATGAATTTTCTTTATTCAAGTCTTCGTTCTTTGCTTCCTCCTACTAATAAACATCAAAAGGTACAACTTTACAAAGTTTTTTTTTTTTTAGACGTTTCATATAAAATTTATTGATTCGATTAATCAAGATGCCCTTTGTGTAAGGTCCATTTATGTGAATAATGCTCAAATAGCACTAGGTATTCACTTTTTGAGACGCTATTTAAGGTTTAGCTAGATTAATTCATACCTTTGTGTCGATTTTTGAAACTTCAGATCTAAGGTTTGAAGTTTAATCGTAAGGCGGACAAGTTTAAAATTTTTGTAATGATGGCTATCTTTTAAGATGGTTATTTGTGCAATTTTTCACAAACGTTCCTTATTAAGATTTTTTTAATTTTCAGAATTAGAATTCGAAACTTTAAAGATAAAAGGATATCATCTATTTCATTATACATCTTAATGGTAAAAGGCCCCTCTTCAATTCACCAAAGAAATCTTACAACTTATTATAGTAAAATAAGATATCCATATAACAAAGTAATTTTATACAACAAACTACTGCTTCTTGCCTAGGGTGGATAAGGGGGTGGGTGGGAGGGGGGTTGTTCTAACTTCCAAAAGTTGGAAGATTATCTTGGATGAATTTTATTAGTTTAACTGAATTCATTACTTTCAATTCTACTTTACATGACGGAAATGAAGTATATAATAAAATCACACTCATTTTGAGTCATTTAATTCTAAATTCTGTTGTAGAGTAGGTTGAACAGTTAAAGGTATGCATTATTTGCCTTGACCTAATAACATCTAAAAAGGGCTAGAATCCTGAACTAATAAACTTCAGATCCCTAATCCGTCTCTCGACCAGAATTAATTAACATCTACCTCAACTTTGATGTAATTAATATTCACTTTTAATTTATTAATACTATTAGATGTGCATACATATTCTTTTTATCCATATAATTTATTTAACCTATATATGTCCCTTTTTTTTTTTTTAATTACAGAAAAAATTAAGCTTTCCAGCAACAGTATCATATGTACAAGAATACATACCAGAGTTGAAGAAAGAAATAGAGAGGCTAAGCAAAACAAAGGATTTGCTTTTATCAAAGAAATCAAATTATTCATTACTCCAAATTGATGACAATAAGAGAAAATTAATTATGGGTGGAACTTCTTCTAATTCTTCAACAACATCAATTTGTGCAAGTCAACTAAGTAATGGACAAGTTTTGGTACAAATTTCAATAACTCAAGAAAATGATTTTCCAATTTCACAAGTATTTGCAAGTTTAGAGGAAGATGGATTAATTTTGCTAAATGCATCATCCTTTAAATCTTTTGGAGACAAGGTTTTTCATAGCTTGCATTTTCAGGTATATATATATTAGTCTCTATGGTCGTTTGGACATAAAAAATGTGAAATTTGAAAGATAAAAAAAAACAAAAGGGGGTATTTGGTAAAAAAATGTAAAAACTTATATTTTGAAATTGAAGTTGTGTTTGAACATGTCGAAAAGAGTAATTTTGGAGTGAAGAATGTGAAAACAAGTATTTGAAATTTTTTGAAGTTCTAAAAACTATAGTAATTCTATGTCCAGACATGATTTTGGAATAAAATTCCAAAAATAAAAAGTAAGAATTATACATGATCAAACGGGCATTTAAATGTGTTGTTATACTATACTCCATAAATTGAAAACTAAGACTCCAAAGAAAAAATGCATGTGAAATTTTAATAAATTTTTTATATTTGTGCAGAAATAAGTATATACATATATAGATTTTAGATTATAGATAAATAGGGTTAATTACTTAATTTGACAAATGGTGGTTACTCAACTTTAGTCAAAAACCAGTTTTTTTTTTTTTTTTGAAACTAAAAAGCCCCTCAAACAATATAATTTTCAGCAGAAATTATGGTATTTCACTAAAGCTTAATTCTAATTTGATTTTCTTTTTGTGATTTTTTCAGACGCAAGGGCCAAACGAAATGGACATTCAGATTTTGAAGATAAAGCTTTTAGTAATGTGTGAAAAAAGAAAAAAAGAATCATATATAGTTTAACTTTCAAGTTCGGTAATTTGGTAATTGGCTATTAAAAGTAGCTATCAACTATTAAAATTTTAAATTTCGTTCGATAATTTGGTAATCGGTAAATTAAATTTGGGTTTGATATGGTATTTTAATACCGTATTGAAGTTGTAGCCGATTGTATTACAAAGTTAATACTATTTTTTCCAATCATTTCTAATTTTTTTTATGTTGAGACACGTTATAATAGAAGATCCATAAGTAAAAAGACATCAAGAAAAGCAGATTGATACAACTAAAAGATATGTATTAGGGTTGTTTATGTTCATTCTTTAACTTTCTTCTCTGAACTTGTACTAATGAGTAATGGACATGTTGATACATGATCTTTATTAAGTAAATAATTTTGTATTCGAGAATTACCAAATGGTACTAATGTCTCATACCAAACCCAAATCCGAATACCATAATTCTAAAATTTTACTCCCGAATGTCCAATTACCGAATACCAAATTACTAAAAATTTTGGTTCGATTCGATAGTACGATTTTTGGAATTTTATGTTAGCTCTAATCAAAATGAATGGATTGAACTGAATTTAAACAGATTAAATGAAATAAATTAATAAATTCACAGAGTATTAACAGTTGATTAATATTTTAAAATAACACCACAATAAATTATTTGAGAATAGATGTATGATTTTATGAAAGATACAATGTAAAAGAAGTACTATTGGGCTATAATCCCTTATAAAGCCCATTTTGATCAAATTCATGTAGGCCCAAATAATATTTGGGCGAGTTAATGATTCAAAATTTATTTATTAATTTAGTTCATTTTGATTCTCTTAAATTCAACCAACTCGTCCTCTAATATCTTTATATCTTATTTGTTTTTATTGAGATACATATGAATTTGAAAACACATAAATATTAAATATGCATTACGATCGAAATATATATATATCTGAATGCACATTTAAATTTTAAATAATTGAAATTCATGAACGTGAAGTCGTCAATGGTACTGAATGGTAATAGTTGATAATGATGAGAAACGACAATGATAGTTGATAATGGTGGAGAATGTCGATAATAGTAAATTAAAAGAATTTGTGAACTATTATTTTTAAAATCTTTAATGATGTTAACGATTGAAATCTGGATTTAAATAATTAAAATTAAAACCTTTATTAAAACAGTTAGATAATGATATGAATATATGTCAAACATAATTTTCAACAAAGTAAAACCACATTTCCACATTATACATTTTCCAAAGACATAATCATTTTTGCTTTCTACCTTACATAGTCAAATATTTAACCTTAAGATCTAAAGTTTTGCAATATGCCAAACCCGCCAACGCCAATGACAACAAAAATCCAAAGAAACGTAAAAAGATTATAGTATCGCGTTCATCTAAATTCATGAATTTTGATACAAAATATAAATTTAAGTATGAAAATTAATTAAAATCATACTTTTCTTATCTCAATTTATACAACACAACATATATTGTGTGAGTAAATTTTTTTAATTTTGATTAGGAATTCGAACAAAAAAATCTTAGATTTCTAAAAGTAAACTTACATATTTGGAATAACTACTAACAAGCATGGTAAGCTATAATGATTAATAATACGAAATATCTATTAAAAAACATATGAACAGTTACAAATCAAATAAAAACTCTTTTGGCACTCAAAATTCAAAAAATAACACATAAAAATGACGGAGAGAGTAATAAATGAAAACACATCTGACTCTTAAAATTCAAAAAGTGTTGCATAAACTGATACGTCTTGTAATATCAACATTTATTATCTACTTTTAATTTGAAAATATCATCTATAGTATCTTAATGGAGCTAAAAAGTTAGTACACGTACTTATTTATAAGTCAAATTATTGTCCTACTTGTATTTTGATAGAGTAATTTTGGGTCAATGTATCAATTGATGATATTAGCTAAAATTAAAGATATGTCTTATTTCAATGAATCAAATGTCTGGTCTGAAATATGGTAGAGGGGAAAAAGTACATTCTCAAAATCGAGGATACCAAAGGTCCTACGTTGTCTCAATATTCATCTCCCATTTTTGTCATGGAGTTTGACTATAAATAACACCATTCATGCTCCTAGTTTGTAGGGGCCAAATCGAAACGATGTCGGAAATTTTGTTAAGAAAGTCCAGATTTAATATACATACATATTATAATTTTTTGACGAAGGGGTCTGACTAGACATACTGAACTATGTGTGGCTATGTCCCTGGGGCCAAGTCATCGTTTTTGTTATGGATTCGGTAAAATTCAGTGATTTTGGCTTAAAATTTATATTTATATTGGAGAAAAAAATATTTGATATGTATAAATTAATAAGTTTTTTAGAATAACTTAGTAAATAAAAAATTATGATTTAGAATTTATAAACTAAAAATTCTGATTTCGACTATGGTGATTTGTGATGTTTAATTTGTACCAAATATGGTGTGATTTTTTTATCATTTCAAGCTAGGCCTTTTCCACATTAAGAACAAAATCAACATATGTAGGTGATATTTATACCAACCTTGTGTATATATTCGTGTGGGACTGTCCAAATTAGTTTGTGCAATAATACCAATTATTGCACGTGCAATAGTGTCTAAATTAATTTTGTGCATGAGGGTGTTCATGTATTAGATTCAATAGCGGATAAATCAAGAAATGAAACGAGTCTGACTCTGTTATTATAATAAAAATTAATGAATATTGGATATAAATATAAAAAATTAGCTCAAAAGGTCATGAAGAGACCATTTTTCTCATTCACAAACTATTGTAGGGCTTCAATTTTCAAAACAAAGCTCATGGCACAATATTATTCTTTTTGTCTAGAATATCGGTAACAAACCCAATAACAAGACCAACTCAATTCAAATTCAAACAATTGACAAATCTATTTCATCAACTCGTAATTGAAATTACAAAGAAATTTAAGAATTAAATGGAAATTGAAGAACACAAGTAGAAGAAAGGGGATGAGAAGCAGAAGTCATAGAAAGGGGATGAGAGGACTAGACATTTTTCTCAACATTTTGCATAAGTCCAATTTGCTCTCCCAAGTCGTATTTATCAACCCGGATCCCAAACATAGTTTCTTAATTCGGTATTTTGCCCATATTGGCCCTGGTCCGTTCATAACAATATCACATACGTTTATTAACCTGCCCTCATCCTATCGTCTTCCGTCAAAAGTGTCACAAATGAGTACTAAAATAATTCCTCTTAAAGCTTTCAATTAACTACTTGAAAAAGTAAAAAAAAAATTCTTTTTTAAAAGATAGATCCTTTTTATCAACATATATTAAGATTGTCAGTATTTCCATAATGTTTCTTCATAACGTTGTTCGACATAAATTGTCTAAATTCATGTAATAATACAAAGTATCTATCGTTTTTTATGTTTGTTGATGATTCAACTTTATTGCTTGTAATTTTTAAAGTGCTCCATATGATTAAATTAGTTGTTCCAAAGAATAACAACTTTTTTTTTTTACTTTTCATCAATTTGTGTACGTAATTGCAACATGAAAAGTACATATTCAATTAATCTACAAATGGGAGATTCCAAATTTAAATAAACAAATATCCAAAATGAGTTAAATGGTGAGATTTTTGAAAATATTATGTTTAAGAATTTATGCTATTTAGAATATTCACATTAAATATAAATATATTTTGTGTAGACCAAAGTTTAGGAATTTACCTTATTTAGATAATGTAATTTTTTTTTACCTAGAATAAGAAATTCTTGTAAAAACTTTTTTTTTTAAAAATAATTGGACTATATGAAGTACAAGGTGCGGAATCAAATTCACACGAACAAGGTGAGAGTTTAGTCAGTCAACCAATTGAGTTACGACTCGAATATTGAATTTATCGTAACATGAAAAAGATGATACCGAAAAAAGCTTAGTGTTTATAGCAACTACATACAAATGCTTTTGTGATAATCAAGATTATAAATATTTTTACGTCTATTTCTGATAGTACATGAATAATAGATACTACATATCATATGACATGTGATTCTAAATCGATTGCTTATCGATCGATACACATGTGATAGTCCATGTTTCTCTAACCTAAACAAGTGGAGAATTAAATACAAGTAAAAAAAAAAATCCTTTTTTAAAATTACTCAACTTGCATGTGGAATAATATTTTGACATCTTACATTTATCATTTCATTAAGTCCTTTATTAGCAAGAGGGTAATATTTTTTTTTCCAGAAAATAAAATAATTAATACCACCAATAATAATAAAGGCCAATGGTAATTAATTAATTAATTAGCTTTTAAATTGAAGGTTTTAGTAGAAAATTAGATGACCAGATACAGAGATTCTTGGTTTTAGTCATCAATCATAATTTAGCTTAATTGTCTTTTGTTTTGAAGTTATCACTATATCACCATCAGCATTCTATTAATTACTGGTTAATTAATTGATTAAGGAAATGTACCTACGTACTTAAGTGAAGATATTTTTTCTTAAATTGTACGTCTAGTATGAGATATTTTTCATATAGTCACTCAATTAACAATTGTCATCTCAGAAAGTCACTTTCTTTATTAAAGATAATTAAAATCAAGAAAAAAAACGTGACTTTCCAAAATAATACATAGTATGACAATAGAAAAAAATAACCGAGTTTGCGATAGATGGTAGATATATGCCACTATCACATAATGAAGTTAATTAGATGACAATTAAATATTTACATAAGCCCAAAAAGATGTCATTAACTAATTTTTGTGAAGATCTTGGTTATTATATTTTTCAGTAAATAACTTCATTATATTACCTCATAAACAAATATGCTACAAAAAAAAGCTTACACAAAATTTCACATAATTATGAAAGTAATTATTAATTTAAAGTATTTCCCTTTTTCTTCTTTAGTAAGAAAATATTTTTGTTTTCTTAAACAAAACAAATAATATCTTTTTGTAAATTGTAATCCAAACGGAACTCAATTTAAAT